GGGGGGGGCGGGTTCAGCTGTGCCTTGTGCACCTTTGCTGCAGCTGAGGGCAGGCCTGGCTCCCTGTGGCGGGGAGGGGGCTCACCCCAGCCGCCTAATCACTGTGACACAAGAGCTGGGATCTGCAGGCACAGAGAAAACTGAAGGTGGCACATACCAAGCAATCCCCAACCCCATGGGACTTATGACCATGGGAGTTGCTTCCCATCCCTAAGCTGGTTTGGAGAAGGCCTGATCACAAAAAGTAGAGGTAAGCTGCACTCTGCATTGGCTTGCCAGAGATAGAAGGAGGCATATGTAAGATGGAGATAAGTGGGGTGCCTCGCACTCCTGGCTCGGGGCAGCGAAGGTGAGTTGTCTCGGAGCTGAGCACAGCAAGCAGTAGAGGAGAAGGGGAAGCAAGGTCTTTGTGCTGAGATTCTGCTGTGTCTTACTTCCCTTTCTGGTCTCTTCAGGGTTTTGTATGGGTTTTTTCTTTGCAGATCTTGTTTGGTTCTTGAATAGACTTGTATATATTTTCAGTGCAAAATTCTGTAAATGGAAGAAAACAAACATTTAAAATGAGACGCCCGGCGCGAAGAATCTGCTGTATTTATGGGAAATAAAAGTTCTTTCCTGATCCTGTCCCTCTGCTTTTTGACCCAAGGAATGTATTTTTTCCCTCAGTTTCCTGATGACACCTGAGGAGCTTCCCTGGACCCTGCCCAGCTCAAATCCTGCCCTTGCAATCCTGTGCATCCCTCAGTCACTCAGGGCCTTTCCTGCTTCCATGAGCAGGGATGGTGGAATTCCCCTGGCAGTTCTCACTTCCTTTTTTTGATAGCAGTCACTTCCATGGAGGTGTGGTGGGCAGGAGTCTGGTCCCTACAATCCATGGGAAGCAAGTCTTGAGCTCGCTCCCATGCTCCGCGTGACGGCAGCTTCACCACGGCTGCTAGCGCTTGCAAGCAGCTCAATTAGGCAGTTTCATTTCAGGGGTACAAAGGGGATGTCCTAGCAAGCAGCAGCMGAGGGCTGGGAGGGGCTCTGACATTGCATTTAAGGAATGGCCTGGCCATCTCTTGATGCAGCCAGTGAGGATGGCRAGGGGTGGCTTTGCTGCATCTTTGCAACAGGTGCTTGAAGCGACTGCCTGTTAAGAGAACTCCCAGGCCTCAATGCTGAGTGATSAGATGTGCTCTGCCACAGGTTTAGAGCAGCCTGATGTTTTGGGCAGGAGAGAGTGGTGCTCTATCACCCCATAACTACTTGAAAACAGCTGCCAGCACCACTTTGCTATACAATGACGGGGGGCTTGACCCTTGCATAACCCAGCAGCTCCCAAAGTTTTGCTCCTCAGGCTTCAGAGCATAGATGGAGTGCCCCTTCTGGCTCTTTTTCTTTGCTGTTTGCCTCTTCTGCCCACAAGCCGACCACTTCTCGTTTGGGCTTGGTTTGCTGCTTCCTTTGGCAGCAACGTAACCCAGTCAACAGCAACGTCTGCTCTCTCTTAGTGCAGGAGCAAAGTCCTAGCTGCAAGTAGCCAGAAATAAGGTGATATTTACATCTCATAGAGTCAGGACCAAAGGTCGTAGTGGTGGGAAGTGGATGTTTTTACAAAAAAAATGTAGGTGAGCTCTGGTGCAGCTCTGCAGAGAGAAAGCAACACCCGAGCCTGAGAACCGGGAGTTTGTGGTCCCCGTGCAACTGTGCGGGTGCTGCTGCCCCTGCTAGGAGGAGCTCTGCTAGCGGAGGGGGAGTGGGGGAAGGGACCTCCCCAATGCATAAGGCAACAGCCGTTGGCCGCAGCTTTGAGGCGGTTCCGGAGAGCCTCAGCGACAGCAAGGATGGAAAGCAGGGTGAGGGGTGCAGGGGGAGTTGCAGGGGTGGCTTTGTTGCTTGTGCTTCGCTGYTTTTGTCACAACGAGGGGGATATGTCGCAGGAGAAGAGGATAGAGCTGCATCCGTGAGCATGGAAAGGGTGCCTGAGGAGWGTTGGCAGAGTTGGGTGACCAGGTAGGGCAGGGTGTACATCAGGCATTCTGTAAGAACTGTACTGCCAGCTGGCACTGACACAGCTGCCCTGCGGCACAGCTGGTGGTGGGCAAGGGAAGGAAGGGGAACCACCCCAACTGAGACAGACAGCAAGAAAGAGCGTGGGCCCTTCACTCGGGCTCAGCAGCGGCATGTGCTTGTCCTGCCTTGTTATGCATATGCTGTAATAAAATTTCCCCTTTAAGGCTGGGCTGAAGTTATTTTTACTTGTGGGGTAGTGACAGGAACACAGAACTGAGCAGGAGGCCTGAACTGTTTTTACCTGGTCTGTGGCAGAGGGGCAGACGGAGGAGGAAGGAAGCTCAGAAAAACAGAGGGAGCAAGAGAAGGGATTTCAAGGAAGAGAAAGCAAGCAGCGCATCCCCAGGGAGGGACTGGGGAGAGGACCGGCTGGGGAAACTGAAAAAGAGGGAACGAGGGAAGGAGAAGTCCTCCAGGAAAAGCAAATACCAAAGTGAATCTGGGGAGCAGAGGGGCTGTAGACATCCAACACCAAGCATTACTCAGGGGTGCTGAGCGAGTATACCTAAGCAGAGCAGCTCCTGTGGTCTCCTCTTGGCTTTCAAGATGATGAAAAGACAGTTTAATCGAATGCGGCAGCAGCTGTCCCATCCCATCGTTCGGTAAGGACATTTCTGCTACCTGTACTGGAGGGAGTGGGATTTGGGTCCTGGAGGGCTTGTGCTGGACTGACTTCTCAGTGCTAGTGGCCTGGGGAAAGGTTGGGGGACAACTCAGCATAAGCTGAGAGGCTTTGGGAAGGCTGAATTGGAGCTGCTCAGCAGTAAATTATCCTTAAGTCCAGCTACTTCTCCCAGGGTCCACAGGTGCTGGATTTAACTGGAAACGGGGCTTTCCCAAGCTTGGCTTCCCCAGGACATGGGGCAGTGGGGCAATGGGGAGGGACTTTCTAGCCACATGTCCCTGGCTGTGCAATGACCAGGAGGATAACCAGGCTGGGACCTGCCCTCTCTATTGTGTCTAGGGTGCCCCATAGGAACCAGATGCCCTCCATAGCTCTAGCCAGCCCAGCAGCATGAGCATCCCAAGAATGCCCTTTGAGGAGAGACCAGGGTCCTCAGACGGACCCATGGAGGACTTACAGCTCCACACAAAACCCTCTGTCCCTGTTCTTCCTCTGCCATTTCCTTATTTTTCTCTTCAGCTTTCCAACGTTCTCTCCTTGCAAAGCCCAGAACTGAAACTACAGGGCTGGGCCCTCCCTGCCCATCCCCCTCACTCCCTTTCCTACTCCCTGCCACCTCTGCAGTTTTCCAGAACTAGGAGACTAAGTGGGACTAAGTGTGTCCCCTAGACTATTGAGGTCTTTCAGCCAGTCCAGCAGATCAGMCACAGAGAAGAAACTCCTACATGCTGGCAGCCTCATGCCCTCCTTGCATTCCCCAGAAGGGAGCATGATGTCCTTTTCCATCCCTCTTCCCTCAAGATTTCTCATCTCCATGATAGARGCACCTGCCTTTTGCTTAATGCCAGGCAGGAAGGTCTCAAGCAGCTTGTGAAGTCCAAGAGCAATCTCTTCACCCACTGCAGAGCCTCTCCTCTGTGGGCCACAACCTCACGTGATCTTGCCTGCCTTCAACCAAACCACCCACATTTCCTGCACCTCCGCATCCTTGTCCCACAATGGCTTAAGCAGGCAGTGAAAAGAGAGAAACATGAACTGGGGAGAAAGCAGCAACAGATGGAAATCAAATGGGGTTCCTGGGGCATAGCAATGGTAGCAGGCCATTAAACAAGGCTTCCTCTATGGAAGGCATCAGGGAGGTTTTGGGTTTATAATGGYTAATGGGTTTAGAATTTGGTTTTGAGCAGAACCACAGAAAGCTGGGTCTGTGTYGGCATTTCTGGAAGGGCTGATGTTGGTCTCGAACCCCAGCTTGATCACAAGAATATCCTTGCTTCAGCATCAGTGGACCCCCAGCTACTGACTACCCTGGCCTGCAAAGACATGTGCCAGATTGCACATGGATTCACTGCCCTGGATTCACCTTCAGGGGAGAAGTGGATAGGCAGGGTCAGTAAACATCCTGCTCCTGTTGTGGCCCCACTAAGCACTCTGACTCCAAAAAAGAACAGGTCACATCTGGACTTTTTGACTGAGGTGCACTGAACTAGAAACAGTCTGATGGGGTGTCTACCAGCCTGCARGGTTGGCTCCCTTGCCCTGCTCCTGCTGTTCTTATCCTCCCAGGCTCGTTCTACCCACAGCCTTGTTTCTGATAGTTCAGGCTATACCCTGTGCCTCCTGCTCCCAGGAGCCCAAAGAGAGGCGGTAGGATGCATAAGGATCTGCTTTCCCAAGGAAGCTGGGTGGAGGTCATCCCCATTTACTGATGGTTCTTTTTCCTTCCTCCACAGAGCCCAAGAATCAACTGAGCTCCTGTCAGACGATTTGCTGCAGGTGAGGTGCAGGCTGRGCTGGAAGGTGTGTGTCTGCTTGTGCCTGGGCATAGGAACGTGCCCCACTCCTGCCTGCCATTTGCCCTGCCAGCTCATCCAAGTCATGGAGCTGGGATCTGCCCACGTGCTGGAGGGTGATTTCAGGACCATATTAAGAGATTGGCAGGCTCCTGCTACCCCAGAAAGGGCTCTTTCTCAGCTGCTCACAGAGGAATGAATCCTGACCAGATGTTGTGCTCCCTTTTCATTGGACCAGAGATGCTCTGAGCTGTGGCAGGATGCTGGGCAGGCCACCCTCACTCAGAGCTGAATAGTGGGTAAATGGCCTCAAGCTGCCCATGGCTGGCAAAATGGCTTCCCCAGTCCCACCCTTCTGCCTCCAGATTGAGCAGAGGATTGAGCCGGCCAAGCGAGCAGCTCACAGTGTGGCCAAGAGGCTCCAAGCCTGCCTGCAGGGACAGTATGGCTCCGAGATGGACAAACGAGTCGTGAGTAAAGTCTTCCCACTGCAGCCTGTGCCCACCCCAGCTCTGTCCCTTGCCAGGAATGGCGATGCCAGGCTTCTGCTTTGCCAGCTTTACTGAAGGGTGTCCCAAGTGTTCCAAACCCAAGTCCCATTGTCAGTAGTGGCCTCCAGCATGTACTCGGATGAGCAGAGCAGGGCAACCCTCTCAAACATCACTAATTTGGGACATTCCTGAAATTTGCATTTTTGCATTGAAGTCTTTGTTTGCATTGAATAACCCTCCAAAGCTCTTGTTATCTATGTTCCTTCCAAAACCCCTGTGAACTCTGGCACCCACGGTGTCCTGTGGTCAGGCACAGTGGTGTCAGCATTTCCTTCCTAAACCCTTCGGCTCTGTGCAGAAAAAGCTGCCCTTGATGACTCTGTCCACGGCGATGGCTGAGAGCTTCAAGGAACTGGACCCAGAGTCCAGCCTTGGGTAAGTACTGGTGTGAGAAAGTGCCAGGGTGATCCCAAAATATGCCAGATCCCGGTGGTGACACTGTCTTGGCTCAGGGGCTCCACAGTTCAAACCATGTCCCCAGAGTAAACAGTGGTCTTGGACTGGGAGAGGGGACAGCCAGCACCTTCAGCCTCCCATTGCAGAGTAGGGCCAGGGGCTGGCTTAGGGTCTCCTGTGGGCACAGGTATAGTGGGGATGTTGGGTCAGAGCGGGGCATGGCTTCAGCCCCTCTATGTTGTAGGTATTATCATAACTCCTGAAAGGCCTTGTCACACTGCATAGGCAAGAGTGGGCTGGAGTCTGTGCTCCAAAGAGCCGGTGTGTGCAGGCCAGTGCAGCTCCTGCTGGGGCAGGGGAGGTGTTCCCTCTGCTGTAGAGGGGTGTGTGTGTGTATCCACAGATCTTATGCTGAGTGTAGAGTGGGTTTTGCATGCTATTTCATCTCTTTCCCATGCAGGAAAGCTCTGGAGATGGGTTGCTGCATACAGAGCTTACTGGCCAAAATTGTGGCTGAGTTTGAGATTGCCCTGGAGCACAATGTCCTGCAGCCRCTCAACAAGCTCAGTGAGGTAGTACTGGCTGCCCCATTGGCTACATTCTCCAATCTCACCCACACCTTCCGGTGAACCCAAGTCTCCCCCACTCACTCTGGCCCTCTCTCCCCTAGGAGGAACTCCCGATCATCTTGAAGCGTAAGAAGACCCTCCAGAAGTTGATTTCTGACTGGAACACAATCAAAAGCCGGTATGGGGCACACTGCAGCCCTGGAGGGCCAGGGCATACAGAGCACAGCCCCACACAAGTTGAGGGAGAGAGGAGGATTATTGCCCAGGGGAGCCAATTTCCAACAGCTCTTCAGGAGCACCCAGCCAGCTCTTCTCTGTGGGTACACCTTGCTCTGGGCTCAGCTGCTGATTCCACAGCACCAGAGAGAAGGGCAGCTCTGTTGCTAAAGGCAGCAAGTTGCCCCAGTGCTGCTTGGTACACTGAGATCACCTCACTCCAACTCTTGCCAGTGGTAGCCCCTGCCATGCCAGACTTCTCTGGAAATCTGCACAYCTGTTCCACCCAGCGTCCCTGGCACTGAGACCATAAATGTGCCTCTTTGCTCCCACCCCAAAGGCTGAACCAAGCTGCCAAGAGTTCTAATAACAGCACTGGAGCTGGTGCTGGCCCAGGGGCATCTTCTGCTGCCAGCAAACTGGAGGTCTTGAAGGAAGAAGAGGAGGAGGTGAAGAGGAAGGTGGAGCAGTGCAAGGTGAGATGGTCACGTGCTCTCTCCCATGGATCATCTCTAGGGCTGCAGATYTGCTCCCCTCCACCAGTCTTGTCTGAGGTGACCCCATGCGGAGACGGATTGCAGCCAGCCAGCAGATCCTGCCCTCTGCAAGCAAATGGGCCCCTCAAATASAAATAGGGAGATGGCCCAAGCCCAGGGAAGAAAGAGGAAAGGATTCAAAGTGCAAGCTGCTGCAGAGAGGAGGGTCCAGAGGCTAAAGCAGGGAGCATATGGGGTCCCCTCAGGCTGGGAATCAGCTGAGCGAGGATCTCTCATGGGTGGCAGAGAAGTTTCACATCAACTTTCTCCACTTCTGCCCTGTTTCTCTGAAAAGCCCAGCACTTTGCCTGGCAGAGCTCGTGAGCTTATTGGAGGTGAAGGTGCAGGGACCACTTAGTCACTTGTGCCAGGAACTTGATTATAGGGCATATTGTTGCCACTATCCAAATGCAAGAAATGGAGGCAAAGAGAAATCCCCACTGCACCCGGAGACCCTGTCTAGACAACTTCATAGACCAGATGAAGTGGCTTCATGAAGGTGACTCCTCTTCCTTGAGTGCCAGGGAGGGGATGGAAGATTGCTCTTCTTTGTGTCACCCTTCTTAGGACGAGTACATGGCTGACCTCTACCACTTCTCCACCAAAGAGGACATCTATGCCAGCTACTTCATCCAAGTAAGTCCTCTGCATCACTTCTCAGTGTATGAATGTCTACTGAGACATGTCTGAGCCCAGCCTTGCCCCCATCCACACCAAGTGYCCCAAGCAAGGCAGGGGACAGACCAACCAAGGCATCAGCAGATGCCTATAGCTCCAGGCACTGCAGAATAATGCCACCACTAGCACCAAGTGCAAACAAGCAGCTTGTACTGATGATACTCCTCTCCAATTTGCCCTGTACCCCTCAATACAGACATAGTCCCATGGTTCCCAGGCAGGTTCTCCTTGCAGCTCCCTCTTTGCCCTGTCTGCATGTGGTGCAATGTCCTGGAAACAGGTGTGTCTCTGAGAGGGGTTGGTGCCAAACTGAATGCTGTTTGCCTGTCATCTGTCTGGCAGCTACTGGAAATCCAGGCCCACTACCACCGGCAATCACTGGAATCTCTGGACTCAGCTCTGGCAGAGTTGAGGGAAAGCCACAGACAGACAGGTAACGTCCAGCTTTCCATGCAGCCTGGGAAGGGCTGCAGCTGAGCCTGTGTGGCTCGAGTGTGGCCAGCAAAGCTGGAAGAGGCTCATTTTCCCTCCCTRCACCTGCTGCTGCCTCCCATATTGGGCTGGTAGGTTGGGGATCCTGCCTGTCCTGCTTCTGCCTGTAGCCAACCAAGTTTGGTAAGATGCTGCCATGGCCAAATGCTGGATGGTCCCAGTGTCCACCACCCCTCTTGACATTTTCCTTCCTCTTCCAGAGTCTTCCTTCACTACAGACACCCCAGTGGCAGGGTACTATGGTGTGTCCCTAGAGACACACCTGAAGAACTTGGGCCGGGAGATTGCGCTTCCCATCGAAGCCTGTGTCATGATGCTGTTGGCTTCTGGCATGAAGGAGGAGGTAGGGAGTCCTCCRGATTCCCTCATCACCTTTCCCCCACCAAATGCACTCCTCCTAAACTCAAAATGCATCCCTTCCCTCTTCACCCCATCCCCAGGGACTCTTCCGGCTGGCAGCAGGTGCCTCAGTGCTGAAGAAGCTGAAGAGCAGCTTGGCCAGCGGCTCCAATGCCCTGGAGGAGTTTTACTCAGATCCCCATGCTGTGGCTGGTGGGTGTCAGCAAGGCAGGGTGGGGGGACATGATTGGGCAGTCCCTGCCATCCCTCAGCTTCCATCAGCCCCGCTGCGCCCCATCTCCTCCCAGGTGCACTGAAATCCTACCTGCGGGAGCTGCCCCAGCCTTTGATGACCTTTGAACTCTACAACAAATGGGTCGAAGTGGCCAGGTGGGTCCAGGTATTTTGGTACAAATCCCAGGCAGGTTTCAAAAAGCCCCCTCCATCTTTCCCAGGACTTGGAGCTGGGCTGCTCAGCCTCATTTGCCATGTGGGAACAAACACAGTGCCTCTGTGGATGCCTTCTTCACTGCCCAGTAAAGCAGGACATCTTCATCTCCAGGGCTATGGCCCACATAGCACAGCCAACGCCATCATGTCCCTCTCTGCTCCAGGGAACAGACTGAGCTCTCTGCTCTTCCTTCTTCTCTCTTGCAGCTTAAAGGACGTTGATAGCCGCATTCAGAGCCTGCAAGACACCTGCAGCTGCCTGCCCCAGGACAGCTACAACAATCTGAGGTGTTTTTTCATAACAGGGCTTCTTTAGGCCCAAGCAATCACCAAGGGTAGCCATTCCCTCCTCAAATCCTTACGTACYATACCCTTGCTCTCCTTTCATCTCACAGGTATCTGATCAAGTTTTTAGCCAAGCTGGCTGAACACCAGGAGGTGAATAAAATGACCCCCAGCAATATTGCCATTGTGTTGGGCCCAAATCTGCTGTGGTCACAGCAGAGCACAGGGTAAGGTCTGGTTTGCAGGGATGGGAGGCACTTCCCTAGCCCCAGCTGGGATGCACTGAAGGCAAATGCCAAGGGAAAGGCTGATCCAGCAGCCTTCAGGCTGGTCTGAAGCACTTGCACCTCTTCCATCCTCAAATCCTGTCCTTTGTCCCCATGCTCCCCTGAGGAATGAACACCAAAACCCATTTGGGATTAATGCCCCCAAACCCCTTTTCTGATGTTTCCCCCACTCCTGTCTCTCAGAGACCCCATGCAAATGGACTTGGCCTCAGTCTCCTCCATCCAGGCCGTGGTGGAAGCCCTCATCCAGAATGCGGACACTCTCTTCCCCGGAGGTATGGCCAGGGCATCACTTGGTGGGCCGCAGCAGAGGGTGACAGGGAGATAAAGGAAAGGAAAGGAACTGCTTCATCTCCAGGAGGAGGGAAGCTGGAGGGTGCTCTGGCTCCCTGCTATGGGGTCATTGCTCTGGGTTGCAAATGCTTCCTCACAGCATCTCCTCTTTTCTCTTCACCCAGAGGTAGATTTCAATGTCTCGGGCATGTTCATGCCACCCACAAACAGGGGACTTTGCAAGGCTGCCCCAGTGGAAGAGCTGACCCCCACGACCTCTTCAGCCAGCACCCCTACCTGTTCGGACGGAGAGGCGTAAGTCTGATGTGAGCCAGAGGCTCTGGGTGTCCCAGTTCTCCCCATGTCCTCCCTCCATGCCACCCCACACCAGGACCATACCCTCACAGGTGGCTGCAAGGTGCCACGTGGCCAGGAYCACCATGCCCAACCAAAGTCTGACTTGCCCCGTTCTCTGTGCAGCACGTCAAGGGACCCCGAAGCCAGGTCCCAGCCGGCATCCCCAGCACTGCTCAGGCCATCTCTTGAAGCTGCAGGGCCACCAGCTCCGACGGTGACTGATGACAACACCCGCAAAGGTTAGAGTGCCCCATGTGCTTGGGAAACTACACCCTCTAATGCCACCTCCTGTGGTTTAGTCTTCATCTTGCCATTTCCCACATAAGTAGGCACTGGGGATGTCCCTGTCACCAAATGAGAGGAAAGGCCTCTGGCCAGGGCATCACGGTCAGGATCCAGCCAAAATGGGACTGTGGGACAGACACAGTATGTCCTCCAGTGTATTGTTCAACACCTCTGGAAAAGCTCCTGATCCTGTGTGAAGGGAAGAAGGAAAAGCTGGTGTGCACTTGTGTCTTCAGTACAGGAGTTGGGCAAGGGGCGATTTGTCCGCCCATCTATCTGCAGCCCCCCTGCTTGACCCATGGCTAGCACTGCAGTCTCTCTGCTCTGCAGAAACCTCAGTGGAGAGGACCTCAGTCTACCTCAGCTTCCTTTTCAGGCAAACGCCTGGCTCCAGCCCGACCCACAATGCCGCCACCACCTGTGACGCAGCCCCGGAACACGGCTCCTGCCCAGGCAGCTGGTCCCAAAGTCCTGCCGCGACGGATGGCACCCAGCCGAGCCCCGTGCATCCCACCGCCGCTCCCTCCACAGCCAGCACCTCGCCACAGCCGAGATGTCACACCATCCCCCAAGCTTTCCCCTGGTGAGGCTGACACAGCGGCTGCCATGGACTATGTGCCAGGAACTGCAGAGAAGGGGCAGCCGCTGCATGCAGCAGGAAGCCCCCTGGCCACATCGGCCCCAGAAGGACAGCCCACAGGGAACTGAGCAGGATGAGGGGCATGAGGGAATCACAGGTCAAGGAGATGGGATCTGGAACCTCTCTGGGACCCAGCAGGTGCTGTGGAAATGCCAGGGTGGCCTGAAGGACAGCATCTCCTGGTCCTCCACTTTGTTGCCTTGGTTCACACSGCCTGGTATGTTTTGCCTGCCTTCTCTCGCTCTCCTGTCTCCACCTCCCCACACCACCACATCCCTACCAGGGCCTGGCCACCAGTGAGGGCCCTGGTACCTGCCCAGATCCCCCATTGCAGGCCCAGACACTGCCTCCAGCTTTTGGGCCAGTGCGGGCAGCTTGGTCCCATTGAGCCATTTGCAAATGCTCAGCCATGATACCATCCCCATTTAGCCTTAAAATGCATTGCCCCAGGAACACACAGATGGATATAGAAAAATACAGATAGACATACATACATAAATACATATATATGTATATAYATGTATATTTGGAGTGCATGTCCTCTGGGGAGTGGCTGAGGGAGCTGGGGTTGTTTGGCCTGCAGAAAAGGAGGCTCAGGGGTGACCTGATCAATCTACAACTCTCTGAAAGCAGGATGTAGCGACCTGGGGATTGGGCTCTTCTCCCAGGCAACCAGTGGCAGGGACAGGAGGACACAGTCACAAATTGCACCAGTGGTGGGTTAGGTGGGACAGCAGGAGGAATTTTTTCATGGAAAGTGAATGGATATTGGAACGGGCTGCCCCCGGAGGTGGTGGAACCACTGTCCCTGGAAGTGTTTAAGGAGAGACTGGATCTGGCACTTACTGCCATGGTGTTGTTGACATGGAGGTATTCAGTCATAAGTTGGACTCGAKCATCTCAGAAGGCTTTTCTAACCTGATTCTGTGATATTTTGCCACTATTTGAGAAGCTGGTGTCAAAGTCGCAGGTCCGTGTGAGCAGGGCGCACTTGGTAGTCTGAGGTGCTGCAGGCTGCAGCCTCCGCGGCAGCAGCGGGGACAAAGGGAGGCAAGAGGGCGCCCAGCACCCGCGGCCGGCGGAGAGGCGGGCCCAGGCCGTAATGGCGACCGCGCTTCCCACACACTCCGCCGGTCGGCAGGGGGCGCTCTACGGCAGCTCGAGCCCGGCGGGAGGCGGTGGCCGGGCATGGCGGTTCCAGCCAATGGGCAGCGCGCTCTGCCCTGTCCCCGCCCCCTCCCCGCCTCTCTCACTTTGGGGGCTGGCCCTCGGCCCCGCCCCGCCCTTCAGTGCGTCAGGGTCTCCCATTGGTGACGGCGGAGGGCCGAGGGGCGGTGATTGGCGGCGCGCTGGGGCGGGGCGCGGCGGGGGGCGGTGATTGGC